GGGTCCCAGTTCTTTTAATGACTTAGCAATGCCTCTGGCCCAGCCCCAGCCCCCCCCCCCCGGGAAATTGGAAAGTCTATGCCCTTGGCTCACAGGAAGTGAGATACTCAGTATAGGAAACCAACCAACCAACCAACAACAGCTGGGGCTGCCAAATCCCCCTGGGGGGCGGATTTCCGTGGCGGAATCGGGCCCCGGGGGAAACCCCACCCCGGTGTGCACGTCATCCGGATGTGATGTGATGACGCCGGGCACGCTGGGGGCGTCATAGAGTTTCCCCCTCAAATGGCTGTGGCCCCGCCCCCAGCGTGCCCGGCGTCATCACGTCACATCCGGATGACGTGCATGCGGCGCGCGCTGACGCCGCCGAACGGGAGCTGCCCGCCGCCAGGTAAAAACAATTTGGCAACCCTAACAACAGCTGTGTTTAGAAACACACTATATATGCAATAAGCTGACATGATATAAATTGTATTATAACTACTTCAAGAAATATGGCATAAGCATCAATACATATAATTTACAAATTAATACGCCAGGTAAAAACAATTTGGCAACCCTAACAACAGCTGTGTTTAGAAACACACTATATATGCAATAAGCTGACATGATATAAATTGTATTATAACTACTTCAAGAAATATGGCATAAGCATCAATACATATAATTTACAAATTAATACGAGGAACAAATGTTGTATACAATAGGGAAATGAATAATCGCTTATAAAAAGTCAACAGACTTCCTGTCTCGAAACATGAGTCATACAGATGGCAGCAGGTCTGGTTCCAGGTTTTTCCCCCCCCCCCCCAGACCTCACCAGTCTTACCACCATTTCCACCCCCAACCATCCTGCCCATCTGCCCATGTGTCCTTCCCCACTTGCAAGCCTTCCCAGCACCTGCATTCACAGCTGCCCATACAGCCTGCATGCCCTTTTCCTCCTGGCACTAGGCACTGCACACAGCTGGGGGTGCAGCCACTACAGTTGCCAGGAGCACTACGGCCATGTGCCACCTGCCCTTCCCCTGGGCAGCATGTGTAGCTGGGAGCATGGGTAGAGAACCACTTGCGAGCAGGTGGGGAAAGGCTAGGCAGTAGGCAAGGCAGGCACACGGAGGGGGGGATTGGCGGCAGTGGGCCCCACCACATTCTTAGATCCTGGCAGCTGCCTCACCTCAGGGCCTGGATGGAGAGCAGAGACTAACTTGTCCCTGTGCATTCGAACAGTACCTTCCTGGCCCACAGCTCATTGCTTTGGATCTTCTTTCCTGTTGTTATTACAGGCAGACCTTCTAGAGACATGATGAGCATAAGTTCTATTGGGGTGGGTGGGAAGGTCTTTGAGAATGCAAAAAAATGTATAAAGGATTCATGTTAAGAATCAAAGAATATTGCTTTTAATAGACGGTTTTCACAGTTCAGCTTTAACATTCACATTCGTAAGAAATTAAAGTTCGTTCAGAGCAGGGCAACGAACACAGATTTTCTGACTTAGAGGCATTCAGTCATAATGCCACAGTTGGTAGCTTCATCCCATTGGCTTCTCAGCCAAGCACATGGACCAAATGTTAGACCATCTTGAGATAGGTTAGTTTTGCCCTACTGATAAAGTGCTGTTGCCATAGTAATGCTTCCAGTTTGGTGTAGTGGTTAAGTGCATGGAGAACCGGGTTTGATTCCCCACTCCTTCACTTGCAGCTGCTGGATGACCTTGGGCAAGCCATTGTTCTGTCAGAGCTGTTCTCTCAAGGGCAGTCCTCAAGAGTGTTCTCTCTGCCCCATCTTCCTCACAGGGTGACTGTTGTGGGAGGGGAAGGTGTTTGTAAGAGGCTCTGAGACTCCGAGTGAAGGGCAGGGTATAAATCCAATCTCTTCCTCCTCCTCTTCTTCTTAGTCCATGAGGAACCACAGGCTCATAAATTTGGTGTATGTGCTACCAACAGACAAAGGTTTGCCAACCTCCAGGAGGGGACTGGGAAATCTCCCGAAACTACAGAGATCAATTCCCCTGGGGGGGGGGGGAAATGGCTGCTTTGGAGGGTGGACTCTATGGCATTATACCCCTCCAAGGTACCTCCCTTCTCAAACCCCATTCTCCACCTCCAAATCTCCAGGAATCACCCAGCTGGGACTTGGCAACTGTAAATAGATGTGTTCAGGGATCTGGGATGGAAGTCCTAGGATAAAGGGTTGAATGTGCTGGCTCTGAAGTAGAGAATAATGAGGGGAGACATGATCATACTCTGAAAATACCGGAAGGGCTATCCTGCGGAGAAGGGCAAAGACTTATTCTCTGCTACCCCAGAGGGCAAAACTAGATCTAATGGGCTTAACATTAGAAGAGGGTTGATTTTGATTGAACATTAGGCAAAACCTCCTAATGATAAGAGTAGTCTGACAATGGAACCAACTACTGGGCTGGGTGTGTGTGTCTCCCTTGGTGGAGGTTTGTAAGCAGAGACTGGACAGTCATCTGATTTCCTGCATCAAGCAGGAGGTTGACAATGTATAAGACCCCTTCCATCTCTTTGATTGTAATTGCTTTAATATTGCTACTTGATTCAACTCCAGTACCACTGCAGAGACCAGCAATATTTTTTGAGTACTCTGAAAAGGTTGTTGGTCTCTAAGTTATGGTTGCAGGTGACACCTGGAGATCCCCCACTGTTACAGTTGATCTCCAGATGACCAAGATCAGTTTCCCTGGAGAAAATGGCTACTTTGGAGGGTAAACTGTATGGTGTTATACCATGCTGAGGTCCCTCCCCACCCCAAATCCCATCTTCCGCAGGCTCGACCCCCAAAATCTCCTCGTATTTCCCAATGCGGGCCTGGCAGCCCTATCTCTAAGGTGCTACTGGGCGTGAATCAAGCTGTTATACTGCCGACCAACACAACTTCCCTCTGAAAACTATCTTTAATATTAGTGTTTACTCCAACACAGCTCGTGCTATTTTTGGACGTTTGTATCCCCACTTGCATATAATAGTTACTATATGGTGATTGCCATTTTTATATAGGCACTCAGTTCAGAATTAGTGAGATAATATTTCAAATGGGCATGCAGCTGTATCTGCCCAGCATCAATGGAACAAAAATTAGCAGCTGGAAGGTCAAGATATCAGCTGGTACATTTGGATTACAATCGTCTTAAATGCTTTTTTTTAATTGTGTGTGCGATGCCCTGAACATTGACCTCGGCACTTTGATGATCGGGAAGGTGATTTTGAAATTCTTTAGAAGCAAAACAAGGCCTAATCACAATAATAAAAATACATTTTCATTTGCTTGCCCACAAAAGACTAATTGCAAAAGTTTTATGTCCAGGATTTAAACTGCCCCCCACCCCATGCACAACATACTGGTAATAACGTCCACTTCAAAGAGCCTCACTATATATTGACTTACTGGGGTTCTAACAATCCCAGCTATTTTCAAACAATTTATTCCTATATCTTTGTAACCAAATTCTCTGTCGCGGTCCGCGCGGAATGCTGGCTGGCACGTTAGTGCCCAAAGGGAGATAGAGTACCCACAGAATACTGGAGTCAGGAACTTAGGTGCAACCACAGTGAATTTATTCACACCAAGCCACCACCTATATACAGTTCTGAGTGTCAGAGTGCTCCGCTGCAACTGATACATGAGAAGGAAAAATATCTCTGTACACTCTGTACATATATACAACTGCTGGCCAATCAGCACATAGCTGATGCAACCTCCTGCAATACACTTAGTGCCAGGCTGCACTGCCTCAAACCAGTTCTGGCCAGCCTCCTAGCAGTCACATGCTGTCTTTAGCTGTCACTTCACTGACACTCGAGATCAAACTCATCTAGGCCAGCCTTACCATTATGAGTGAATCACGACATTCTCAGCATGTTTGCAGGGATCTGCAATTATGACCAGTGTTCCCTCTAAGCTGAGTTAGTGTAAGATAGCTCGCAGTTTTCTAGCCTCCGGCTCACACATTTTTGTCTTAGCGCAAGAACGGTGGCTCCAGAGCCAACTCATGTATGCAGCACCCAAATCGCTCACTCACAACTTCAATGCCAGTAGCTCGCAAGGTAGAATTTTTGCTCACAAGACTCCACAGCTTAGAGGGAGCCTTGATCTCCAGGCTACAGAGATCAGTTCGCCTGGAGAAAATGGCAGCTTTGGAAGGTAGAATCTATAGCAGCAGACCCTGCTGAGGTCCCTCCTCACACCCTGCACTCCCCAGGCCCTGCCCCCCAAAATCTCCAGGAATTTTCCCAACACCAGAGGTGGCAACCCTAGCTGTGTGTGTGTCTGTGTGTGTTTGTGAGGTCTAAGCCTCTTTTCACGGTGGACCACCACCCTGATCTGCATCGGTCCCTCATGCACCCGGGAAGCACGGAGCTCCCAGAATGTGTCTGTCACCCAACTCGGGGTTGTCTTTTTGAAACAAGCAAGCAGCATGTACTTATGTCACAGGAGCAGTGGCCACAGGAGAAGGTTAACAAAGGTATTATTTTCATTAATCGCAGTGGAGCTGGTTTGAATCTCTCTTCCCTAGCTGCTGCGGTTAACGAGATGTAAAGAGATGGGGGAACCAGACTCACAGAAGTCAGTGTCTTGGGGGGGGGGGGCTAAGCCTCATAAGGGAAGTCCTTCCCCGGGTGCGGTCTCCCTCCCCATCTTACTCTGTACAGAGACATAGTGGATATGAGCATGAGTTGTTGTTGTTGTTTTCCCAAATATCAAAGTGATATTTTTTCCTCTGAATTTCGCAGGCTGCCCGCTGCTGATTTGCGTTGTCTCAGTAACTTCAGCTATGGAAAGCTATGGAGAAGAAAGCAAGTAAGTCCTAAAACATGACTATTTGTGGAGCTCAATGATGCACGGAGTGAATACATGAATATTCGAAGCTGCCTGATATTGAACCAGACTGTGCTCCCCATAGGGTTGCCAAGTCCGGACTTATCTGCTGGCAGGGGACTTTGGGTTCGCTCCTGGCACGCGCGCACCACATGCACATCACTTCCCTGTGACGTCATGACGCCAGGCACGCTGGGGGCGGGGCAGAGCCATTTGAGGGGAAAACATAGAGTTTTCCCCTCAAATGGCTGTGCCCCGCCCCCAGCGTGCCCGGCGTCATGACGTCACAGGGAAGTGCACGCGGGGGTGGGGTTTCCCCCGGGGCCCGATTCCATGGGGGCGGAAATCGGGCCTCCAAAGCGGGGGGAAATCCGCCCCCCGGGGGGATTTGGCAGCCCTAGCTCCCCAACATGGTGCCTGTGGGCACCAAGGTGCCTGCTGACATCGTTTCTTGGTAAAAAAACCCCTCTACTGAATTAAAATTGCCTCCCGCTCATTTCTCTCATTCTGACTTCCAAACACACAAGTGTATAAAAGGTAAAGGTTCCCTTGCTCGAAAGCCAGTCGAGTCCGACTCTAGGGTTGTGGTGCTCATCTCCGTTTCAAAGCCAAAGAGCCAGCGCTGTCCGGAGACGTTTCCGTGGTCATGTGGCCGGCATGACTAAACACCAAGGCACGCGGAACGCTGTTACCTTCCCACTGAAGTGGTACCTATTTATCTACTTGCAATTTCTTGCTTTCGAACTGCTAGGTTGGCAGGAGCTGGAACTAGAGACGGGAGCTCACTCCGTCATGCCCTGATTTAGGCATTATTTTGGAAATCAACTGAACTATTCTGAAATGTTTGTTAATGATTTCCAAGTTTTGGTCCTCCTGGTCGTCTGGTTTTTAGGTGATCTGCTGGAGTCACAAGACAAGAGTGGCTTCACAGGGGAACTTGGTTGTCTCACCATAGCATTTCATGGTACATATTTCCCACTGTTGTGGATTGTGGTGCTTTGGTTCAAATGCAGATGGAATTTCCTTGGCATCATATGACCCCAGGTAATCCAGGGGTGAAAGGAGCAAACACCAACCTTGCTAGTGGCCAAGCCTGCAGTCTCCTGGTTCACATATTCCTCCTGTCCATGCAAGGGCATTCTGGAAGATGTGTTCCCAATACTAGTTCATGGGTGCCAGGTTGCTTGGTGGCACTGACGGACAGTAGATTCAGCAGAAACCAAAGAAAGCGCTTCTCCATTCGACTTAATTTGCTGGTGGGATTCTCTGCCACTAAGTTAGATGTCTTTAAAAAGGGAATGGAAACATTTAAGGAGGATAGGTCTATCGATGGCCATTTGCCATGATTCAATGGAACCTCCGTGCTCAGAGGCAGTCTACTTCTGAATATCAGCTGCTGGGGGACAACAGATGGCCATGACTGGAAATGAGATGTTGGACTCTGGCCTGATCCAGCTTCTTAAAGAGTGTGACTAGTACAAGGTACATACACAAGTTCCACTATTGTGTAAATCAGCTTGACGTCTCGTTGTGTTCTTTTTATTAAATAAAAATTTTATTGGCTCCCCTAAAAAGGGGAGGTATTTCGCTTAAAAGAAGAAATGGGAAGGGTAGACAGTGGGAGAAAGAAAAAGCTGAGTGATATATAGTCTGGTAAATTAAACTGTTAGTAATGTCCAATTAATCTTCTTGGGCTTCTTCTGTGTGTTGTCAAACTTCTTTTCTTAGTCCGGTCACATGTAATTCTCTGTTAGTATGTTAGTAATGTTCCTTTGAATTTCTGTTAATAAAAAATCTCTTCTGGGTGCATTCAGAACCGCTTCTTTGTGTGCTGGGTACTTTTACTGTCGCTGACGTGGAGGAGCTTCCTCTGTTGTCTTCTCCTTCCGGCTTGTTCGATCCTCCTTCGGGTTGCTGTTAACACTCTCAGTTCATGCACTATAAATCCTCTTCCTTTCATGCCATTACTGGAGGTCCCCCGCTTTGAGAATGGTATTAATTTCATTTTCGCTTTTATATCCGCTCCCAAACTCTCTACTGGGTCCTCCTCGCAACTGTTGACTTATATAAGCGCTTGCCAGGCACTCCTCGCTGTCACAGTTCAAACTTTTCCGTTTTACAAAACTCCCGTCGGATTCACAGCCATAAACAGTCCAAACATTAAACAGCCGGCTCTCACACACAAGCAAACGCCCAGACGGAAGTCCCTCCCTTCTTCTCCGCTCGCTTTTGCCCAGCTCCGACATCTTTTCTTTTTTGTTTACTTTTAGAAAGTTCTTAAAATGTGCTCCAGAGAGACAAAACTTTTTCGCGCTTTGTTTCAAATACATCAAAGGAAAACATCACTGTCCGCTCAATCCATTCCCCCCCTCCTTTTCTTCGCTTGTACAAATGGAGGATTAACCTCCTCGCCTTTTTTGCTGGGGGGGGAAACGTTTTTAGTTCTTTTTCTCTGCATTTTGACAACTCACAGTTAAGCCGATCTTTTCTTTTTCCATTTTTGCGGATGGTCGCTTTATCACTCGGTGACGTCTGGTGGCTCCGCTAAACCCCGTTCGGGGTCGCTCACGCAGCAAGGTCCATTGGGGCAGGGCATGGCGGGAGCCTCGTTCTCCGACCTCTCGGCCAAAAGAGCGACTCCCCCCTAGTGCGCCCTAAAGCGCCCCGGATCCGAGCTCCTCCATTCCTGAGGGGCTCGTTCGGGTCTCCGCTCGTGCGGATTCCCTCCTCCACCGCGGGCGGGCGAGACGCCCTCGGGAGCGACCCGAGGATGCGTCCGCCATTCGCGGGAGCCAGACCGGAAGCCGACGTCTCGTTGTGTTCTGATCTGAATGCCAGAGGTGGAAACCCTAGCTGTGTCTGTTCTCAAGGGAGTGCCGTGAGCCCACTTGTCCTTCTGTGACCTCTATGGTCACCCTTCCAATGCCTGTATCAGACTAGAGTCGTAAGAACATAAGAGAAGCCATGTTGGATAAGGCCAAAGGCCCATCCAGTCCAACACCCTGTGTCATTAAGTGGCCAAAAACTGGGTGCCATCTGGAGGTCCACCAGTGGGGCCAGTCCTGCTTGGTCTGCCGATTGACATGCCAGCTTCCTAATTTTCTTGATCTTGTCGTGAGTTTATTTAACCCCTGCCGTGATTGTGGAGGGGAAGCAGGAGTTAGCCTCCCCCCCATCATGTCTGATCCATCTCCATGCACGAAGAGTGCTCTTCCTCTCACATCCTTGGTCTACCTTTCAACCAGGGCTTTTTTTGTAGAAATGCCCAGCAGGAACTCATTAGCATAACAGGCCACACCCAACACCAGAAACTTATTAGCATGTTAGGCCATACCCCTGATAGCACAACTCATTAGCACATTAGGCCACACCCCATGCCTTCCCTTGGCTTGCCCGGGCACCCTGTGGCTGCAGAGAGCCCGGGCAAGCTGGCCCTTGGACAGACCAGGGAAGGCATGGAGAGGCATTTAAATGCCTCCCCGATCCTTCCAGCCCCCCCTGGCCCACCCGCTTCAGAGTCACCGGGGGGGGGGTCGCTCTCCAGGCCTTCCCTCTGTAGCCACGTACACAGAGGTTTTGGCTGTAGTGGGTGTGGCCAACTGAAGCCAGCCGAAACTCCGTTCCTGTGCGTTCCTGCCCCAAAATAGCCCTGCTTTTCACTATGGACACTGCTTTGAGAATCCTTGTCAAAAAAAGCAGTAGATAAATATAATGAAACTCCACAAAAACAAATGTCAAGATCCGGTTTCAATTTCTGGAACACACATGGTAAATTTGATCGGAAGGTTGCAACTTGCAGGGTTTTGCAGTTCGGCCGATGCTGCTGGGCTAGAATAATTCCTCTGCTTCTGCCCTGGGGTTTCTTTTCCACTGATTCTTAACCTGAAGATATGAGAGAGAAGTTGAACCTTTTCCTCTCCCCCCCCCTTTTCCTTTGGCAGGTGGAAGAAAGAGAGGAGGGAGGGAAGATCTAAAATCTTTCTCCGGCTGCAAGGAAGAATAATGCCCATAGCAAAAGCGTTGTTTGATGAATGACATGTTACGGCGCAGCTGCCAAAAATGACAAATCACATGTGTTTGTTCAGTGGGTTTGCCCTTCTACCACCCGGAGGCATGTCAGGAAAGGCAATTGCTGCTTTCCGTCTGCGATGGATCAATCAGAGCGAGAGCCCACCCAAAAGCACTGTGTGAGAAGGCGGAAATAAATAGGCATGCCCAGTTGCGAGCGACCCTGCTCTGGTGCTTTTCAAAAGCAGCCCGGAGAGGTGGAATGAAGTTAATGAATCTCTTCATGGCATGAATAAATGGGGGGGGGATGCCATTTCTCCAGAACTTAAAAAAAAATACAACTTTTGGCTAGGTTGCACGAATATTCTCTACTGAAATTAATTCGAACTGTAACGAATTGGCGGTTACCATAGCTTCCAAGTCTAGAATGCAGGTATTCGGTTTCGCTACAATGGAGTAGTGTTTAGTGTCAGACCGAGATCCGGGAGTCCTGGTTTCAGAGCCTCATTCTGCCACGGAGGGCATTGACACCATCCAGGTGGCACCTGGAGATCTCCCACTATTACAACTGCTCTTCAGACGAACAAGGTCAGTTCCTCTGGAAAGAAATGGCTGCTTTGGGGTCCTTCTCCTCCTCAAACCCCTCCCCTCCCCAGGCTTCACCCCCCACCCCCCCATCTCCAGGGATGTCCCAATCTGGAGCTGACAACCATAGCCATGGAAGCGCACTGGGTGATATTGGGCCAGTCACTCTCTTTCAGCCTTATCCAACTCAGAGGCTGGTTGTAGGGTTGCTAATATTCAGGTATATTCAGGAGTATGGCTATTTTTCGGGTCCAACAGACCCGAATCCTATCTAACCCTATACACACACACACCTATGAGGGACACAACCATGTTTTGGGAAATCTTTGGCCGCTTTTTTCCTTACATATCAGAGCTGCATATTTGGAGACTAGGCAGCCTTAAAAAGTGCTCTCTTCAGCCCTTTAAAGCTGTTAAACAGCCGTTACAAATGTTTGGACTGGATCCAGTGGATCTCTTCCCGTAGCCCTGTGCCCTGGCACAAGAAGCCTTCCCCGATGCCAAAGCCTTCGGTCCTCTTGTGCCAGGGAAAGGCTCCTTGTGCCAGACGAGAAGCACCAGCCTCAGTGGAACAGGCCCAAAGGAGAACCGAACCTTCTTTGTCCCTGTCTTTTGCATCGAGTATATATTTTTTTTAAGTGTGCATCCAACTGCTGTTAAAGGTCTTATCAGGAGCCAGGCTAGTCAATGGAAAAGCAGCAACCCATCATGAAAGCAGGAGTCAGAAATGCAAGCTTGTGCACTTTCTCGTGGACTCTGCCTGCTCACACATCGAAACCCTGTTTTGGTCTTGCAGTGGTGAACAAACAGTGTCTTCCCTTTTTCTCTGCAGCTGCTGGCTTTCCCTGGAGAATGGTGCAATCTGGGCTTTTGTGGCTCCAGCTCTGTTCGTAATAGTGGTAGGTGCACTCCTTTAATACCTATTCTGTCTTCGTTTCATATGAGTGTCGGGGTCATGGGATTGCTGTGGCTAAACCCCCCTTCTTTTTGAGAGCTCCTCCCTCCCCCCTTTTTGCCATCATGTCACCCTGTAGGGTGACCCTGTAGGGTTTTCAAGCAAGAGATGTACAAAGGAGGTTTGCCATTGCCTGCCTCTGCATAGTGACCATGGACATCCTTGGTCGTCTCCAATCCAAGTACTAACCAGGGCTGACACTGCTTAGCTTCTGAGATCTGATGAGATCAGGTTAGCCTGGGCTATCCAAGTCAAGGTGTGAACTCTGGTACTACAGCCCTGCAAAAAAGGTCTGAAACTGAACAGGCTATTTCTAGCATTGCCGGAAGGGGAGCAGGCTGAAATAGCAAAAGCAGTGGGAGTTATGGGAGAAAGGTAAGGATAAGTCCTGGTGATCACAGCATTCCGTGCGCCTTGGCATTTAGTCATGCTGGCCACATGACCATGGAAAAGTCTTTGGACAGCGCTGGTTCTCCAGCATGGAAAGGGAGATGAGCACCACCCCGTAGAGTCGGATTAGACTGGCTTTCGAGCAAGCGAAACCTTTACCTTTACCTTGGGGAGCCCAGTTGTTCCCAAGTGGAATATGATATTCCCCATCGCCAGGGCAGCTGCTAACAAACCGCTGCACTATCTGTTCCTGCCAGCTGCATCCTGAGGACTAGATCCACCGGCTGCTGTGCGTTTCCCTCCCTTGTTGCTCTTTGATTGGCGCTTTACACTGAGAAGAGCCATGTCCCTCCGCTTTCCAGTTTAGGAGGTCGGTGCCAAGCGTTTGCAGCTTTAACACTCCATCAGAGGAGGGTAGTTAAAACAGGTCTGTTGGGTTCAGATGGCTGCTCCGGGTGCATCTGTCGGCTATAATGAATTTAATCTTTCTAGGCGAGAGTCGCAGGTTCATGACTGAGCTACTGATACGTGAATGTATTACAGGGCTTTAATTATGCCCACACATTAAATTACAGAGAATTGTTGCTTAATCACTTGGATTGCTCAAGGAGGCTGCGAGGGATGGCTTTGCGAGGGATTAAGGACCGAGTTTCTTCCTCTGGAAGGCTCTCTGCAGCAGGTCTCTGTTGATGTTTTTTTATCGATTAGCCTGCTGTACCTCCTGCGATAACAGTGCTCACCACTGCTTTACTGGCAAATGGAAGGATAAACATATTGATTCAGAATTTACACCTCTGTCTTCCATAGCTTCCAAAGCGCTCGTGGATTTTCAAAGAAGGAAGCCAAAATGTAGGCTGCATTCTCAGGAACTGCTTTGTTATGGTGCTTAGATTTTGATTTAAAAAAAAAAGAAATGAAAAGGGAGGATGGGAAAGGCGTCCCATGGTAAACAGGAGTCTTGCGGTACCTTAAAGACTAGAAAGTGTGTATTCTAGCATAAGCTTCCATAAACCAGAGCCTCTTTCATCAGGTCCATGTCTTGGGTCCTTGGTAAGGAGGTAATGCAGGTAAGGAGGTTGAGAGATAGACTAGGGTTGTGAGCCTCCAGAGGGGCCTGGAGAGATCTCCTTGAATCACAGCTGATCTCCAGACGACAGAGATCAATTCCCCTGGAGAAAATGGCTACTTTGGAGGGTGGACTCTACCCCAAACCCCTCCCTCCTGAGACTCCACCCCTAAGTTTCCAGGAATTTCTGAACCCAGAGTTGACAGCCCTAAAATAGACGGATGAGATTATGAAAAAAACAAGTTGTAAACAGCAGGGTCAATGGAACACAAAAAGCAGAAAATAAGTACAATTCAAATACAATGAAGGAAAGAACAGAGACCATTCACACTAGCAGAAACTGAAGATAGCAAAAGTGCCCTAGTTTTGTTAAGGTGATTATCCCCTGTAATGACTGAGTAATCCCAGACCCTGGCTACATTCTTTGGAGATGGTGCTAAGCACTCTGATGAATTCTGATTCAGGGCTTCGCATCACTGCTCTGCTGGCTGGATAGGAATGCAAATTGTTGCTGTTATCATTGTTAATATAACTTAGAAATATTCCTTTTAGGCCAGGCTAGAATACAAGAATGGAGTAAGCCATTTGAGGTCCCCATTTGGGAGAATTGTTGGGGTATAAATTAAGTAAACAAATAAATAAATAGTAAGAACCAAGAGTTATATCCAGTCTCAAAAGCAGTGTGCTATTCAGCAGTGAAGGGGATGTGTTGGTGTTTGAGGATGTAAATCCATATCTTCCTGGACTGATGGGCCATGACTCAATGGTAAGTGCATGCTTTGCACATCGAAAGTCCCAGGAACAGTTCCTGGCATGTCTAGTTAAAGGATTTCAGGGTGAACATAAGAACTCAAGAACATAAGAAAAGACCTGCTGGATCAGACCAATAGTCCATCTAATCCAGCATCCTCTCTCACACATTGGCCAGCCAGTTCCTCTGGACGGCCAACAGCAGGGCACAGAGGCCAAGACCTTCCCATTGCCTCCTGGCTATAGGATTCAGAGGCTTAGTGCCTCTGAATGGGGAGGTTCCCCTCAGTCACCATGGCTAGTAGCCATTGATAAACGTATTCTCCATGAGTCTATTTAATCCCCCTTTTAAGACTGTTTATTCCTGTGGCCATCACTACATCCTCTGGCAGCAAGTTCCACATTTTAATCACTCTCTGTGTATTTCCTTTTGTCCGTCCTGAACCTACTGCCCATCAGCTTCACTGGATGCCCTCGAGTTCTAGTATTTTGAGAGAAGCAAAATTAGTTGGGCGCTTCAAATTGTAGGTTGAGGAAGACTTTTCAGTACTTTCCCGTATCTAATAAAACTAGCGCTTTGGGGAGAAGACAGGACTCACTGGAAAGGACAGTCATGCTAGGAAATGTTCAAGGCAGCAGGAAAAGAGGAAGACCCAACATGAGACAGATTGACTCCATAAAGGAAGCCGCAGCCCTCAGTTTGTGAGACCTGAGCCAGGCCGTGGTTAGCAGGGCTTGAGAATGACCCTTCTCTGCCCGAGATCCTGTAGAGCCCTAGGAGGCATTCAAAGGAGCCAAGAATGAGTTAGATGGACCCATGACCTGAACCCGTGTAGACCAGCTTCCTGTTGTTTGGAGGAGCCAAGCAAAAACCCCTTTCTGTTTACCCCAAGTTTTAATGGGATTTAAGTGATTAGTCAGCTCCCCTGCTGTTTTTAATCCTCCGAAGGTGGTGTGTTTGTTTCAGTACTGCCTGATGTTTTTCTGCTTTGTCTTAATACCGTAAGCCATAAGACTTACAGTTAGCAGGTGTCAAATAAATATCGCAGTTAAATGGATTAGCAGCGGGATGATCTTGAATTTATGTTACAGCCAATGACCAAATGTCCTGAGATCACATGTGAATGCTGCCAGTCAGAGATGGTTTGTGCCCAGTAATATCAGCATATTTACCTATGTGGTGTAGTAGCCGTTTCTCAGGAGAAAAGCCTGTTATGAGACTGGCTGGCTACTGAGTAGGGTTGTTGGACCCCCACTGCCAATCAGGTGACTGGTAGGGGAGGAAGGCCTAGGCTGCTGTCATCGGTGACACAGTGATGTCACTTCAGGCATGTACCAGAAGTGAAGTCATGCATAGCTGGCATTGAGGCTACACTCTGGTATTTGGGCAAAAACTCTATGGTAGAAGCCATTTTTACCACAGAGTTTTTGCCCAAATACCAGAATGCTGCCATGATACTGGCAATGTGATGACACCACTTCCGGTGCACACTGGAAGTGATGTCACTGCATCACCCGCAACGAGGCCTAGAGCTTCCTCCCGCTCCTGGTACGTTTCCCCCTGCCCCCACCCCCCCACCAGTTGCCAGGAGGACCTGGCAGTCCTGCTCCTGGGCCATGGACTTCCTTATCGAAAAGCAGGCAGTGGCTCAACTTCCTCCCTGGAAAAAGCAATACCTAACAATCCAATCTTATGGATGTATTCTTGGAAGCAAGTCCCATTGAGTTCAAAGAGCTGCAGCCCAAAAGTCCAATAAAAATGGAACCTACCTATCACATTTTTAACCCACCCTTCCTCCGAGGGGGTTAGGGTAGCTTGCATGATTCTCCCTTCCACTATTTTATCCTTACAACAACTCCGTGGGATAGGTCAGGCTGAGAGAGAGAGTGGCTGACTGGCCCACAGTCACCCAGAGAGCTTCATGGTCAAGTGGTGGACTTGAACCCAGGTCTCCCAGCTCCTAATTCAGCATCCTCACCACTACATCCCATCGTCTGAAAACCGCATGCCAAGAGAGGGAGGTTTCTATGTACTCACATTATGAGATTTTGTTGTTTTCTGTGGTTTACTTCAGTGTTATATCTATTAGTGGAATAGACTAAATTGATCTATCCTCTGGAGGTATACATCTGGTTGACTCTGAATTCAACAAAACTGCAAGCCATCAACCTTGCTTTTTGGGCTGACATACAGGAAGACTGACAGTCAAACATAGGTGTCTGTCAACATTCACCAGCACATCCCTGAGTTATACCCTCATAGTTCAGCTGAGGTTGTCAATACTTACACGTTTTCAGACATTCGTTGTAATGCATGTACATAACTGGGAGTGCTGTGACAATCAGAGGCTACGTCTGTTCTTGCTTTCCACCCTCTCCTCCTTTTTTACACCCTAATCCTTATCTCATCGCCCTTCATTCATAGCGTTTCTGTAAGTGGATCTATTTCTCTTCCATTCTCAGTTCTACTGGACTTGATGGGTGAAATCTCTTCTCTCGTTCCCACATGATCGTGGCTGTATGCAGACATGCAATTTACATTTAATGACTGATGAGAAACCACAATCTCTCTTTCGGTCCAGAGATAAGCGGTTGTTTTTCTTTAGACACGCAAAATTTTGCCTGAATCTGGTAGATGATTTCTTTGAATGATTAATATCTTTAATCGTTGGGTGTGGAAGCATCCTTTTTCTTCTGCTGTTCTGCCAACACAATATCTCTCTCATGACTTCTGTTCT